TTCTACTAGATCTGTTCGCCTACACAACCGCAAGGAAACATCTCAATGCAGTTATTACAACCCTGTAAATTAATAAATTAACATCTGAAAAGACTGTTAAACAAATCAAACATTTTTACTTTCGACGCCCCAATGTTTGCAAGTTGAAATTTGCCCGAATTTTCACTTAAAGCATCTTAAATACATGAAAGGTACCGAAAAATACTCCACTACATTATTATTTGTAATTATTTGGTTCTGCAGATTAAAAGAAATATTTAATTACAAGGAATCTCAAAAAACTTTTCTAAGTGCTTTTCTAAGAAAATTTGTGGTACATTGATTTTTCGTACTTAGCATGTCTTAAATTTTCGGAATTCACTGTTTTGATTTTACCATAATTAATATGTTGTAATCATCATATTGTGCAGTATCATTAGTTTTATCTCAACCTAAATATTTCTCAATCAAAGAATTATTCGAAAAATGCGGCAATTTCTCTTTTTTTTTTATTACTGAAAGATTATGATACAACCTTGATGACAGTTTTAGATTCGTTAATCAACCAGTAAAGATAATAATAATCATAATAATCGTCAACTTTCATTCATTTTTACTCGATTTAATTATATGACTTCAAATATGCCGCATAGCTGATTAAATAGAAATAACTAGGTCAAAATATCACAAAGCCGCTCACAATTTTGAGATCTGAATGATCTATGAAAGGTGTTCATATTTTCGATATGAGATGTAATGAATAAATATGGTCCTTTAATGAAATTCTGTCAAATACAGTTCCGCCATACTTTTCAAAATTATTCTCGACAATCGTTCTGGGAGTCAATCACATTACACTATAATTGATCTTCAAGAATTTATTTATTTCGTTACTCCTAATTCAATATTTTCCCATTTCTAAATGCACACTTTTAAGTTTAGTAATAAATTTTCTAAATATCCGCTTTACATTTTAAATGAAAACCTTTGAGTAAATTCGAATCCTGAAGTATTATTGTTTAATTCATGAATAATACTATCATGCCCAAGTCTCTTTTACACTTCTTACTTTTTCCCAAAGGTTAAAAAAAGGTAATAGAAAGTCTGGAAAGAAAATGATGAGTGTGCTATAAGGAAGGCATATGATGAAGCTGAAAAGTATTAAACAGAAGAAGAAAGCCGGAAAAGATACCGGACTTAGTAGCGATCGTATCGAATTGAGTGACGATGAAGATTCCTGAAGACCGGATACAGATACTTCAGAATGATAAAATAAGTCTACTTCTTAGAACTATTCCTTAAGTTTCAAGGACTAAAAAAGAACTCGTTAGAGATAGGAATTGCTGAAAATGTAATACTTCAGTCGGTTCTTTCCTCAGTCTGGACAAAATCGATTATTGCTGTCTGTTCTTCAAACATCACCAGTCTCGTTCCTCACCCACGTAGTCGCCCTTTTGCTTTTCTGCGTTAGAATTAACAATATGAAAGAAAAAAAAAATCTTTGAGTCCAGGGGGCACAACAAAATTTATTAATGATAACGCTGGTGAAAATGACGTCACCAGAATTTTAAGTAAGAAATGAATAATATAGCTCACAACAGGTATAACTCTCTTTCTCTGTTTAAATTAATTGCAAGTAAAGCCAAACATAGCTAACACTCTGATTCAGTCTTACTATCTAATTCATATTCGTTAATACTGAACACAAATTTAACAAAACCATCGCTTACATTTATTCCCAACTAATGGTATGAAATGAAATTCGGTTAAAGTGTAAATTTATTCAAAAAGAAAATATACAACTGTCACTTATTTGGATGATAGCTGTATCTATATAGAATCAATGTTGGCTGACAAATAAACAGATCCATCTCTTGTGGTAAATGCCGAATTCTATCCTAAACCAATTGACTTAAATTTCAAATTTTACAGAAATTGCTTTGTTGATGTAATTTATAGGGCGAGTTGAAATTTGATTAAAAGCACATTTGATCAAATAGCAAACTGCTGAGAAGTAAACTTTATTAAATAATTTACATTAGACATCACTTCTTATATTTCATACTTTCAAAAATTTACTGAACAGCGCTGATCTAGCACTAGACTCAATCCACAGTCTTCAGGAGTTGCATTTTCATCTACTTTAGATGAAGTTACAATCATTGTAAATTTATTTTTATCATTTTTCTTATATTCTGATGCTTCATCAATCAGTATAATACCAAGCTCCCACTGATTTCTCAATTTTTAGAATCAGTGTCAACGCTTGGTTCAAAATTTTTTGCTTCGTATGTGAATTTCAAATAATTCTAGTATGATTCAATATTTGCAGTGATGTAGAAAGGAAACACTACTAGAAAGTTTCAGTTAGTTGTCATTGCGGTCACCATACTATTCACAGCAATTAATTTTTCATCTCAAAAGCTTATTAAAATATTAATGGCGTATAAAGTTTCTTCTTAAGGTTCAACGAGAGCTTTCTGAAAGAAGAAAAGTTGTGTTACATTTTAAAGACAGGTCCACATTTACAAATGTTTTCTCTAAATACGACATAACTTTCTGTGTCGTATTAGTAAGAAATAGTACTTAAAGAAAATATGTAGGAAAATGGATAAAAAAATATTTCTATCGTTTTTACGAGACAACCATAATGCTGCAAAAGAAGCAATAAGGTGTGTTATTTGAAAACTTTCCGCTGCGATTCATTTTTCAACTTCTTATCTATTTTGCCTTGAAAAAGTAAGCTTCATGTCTGAGTTTAACTTTATCCAGCATGCAGTTACGTTGTTCTCCAAAAAAGTGGTGCATTACATCAAAGCTATTGTAAAACAATGCAAAATCATTTATACTTGAATTCTGTGAAGAAAAAATTATAAAAGTTACTTGTTGGTGGCAGTTCATTAACTCCTTACACTTACTAGTTGATTCCGCTGGATTTGTATAGGTATAACCTGAATTGTCAGTGCATTACTGATTACATGGTGAACACCAGTGCGTGTTATTCACCTTATTTTCTTCATCTCCTCTACTGCCTCTCTAGTCCTTTATAACAATTATAGATTAAGATCATAAGAGAAGAGTTTTTTTTTTTTGCCAGTGTTATTTCATATTTCAGGCAGTCGGACAATGAAAATTTGATATTAGCGATGATATGATGACTCTAAGTAGAAAAGCAACACAAAAAATTGGGACTTATTTTAATGCAGAAAGTTAACTTTGCTTATTAAAAGAAGATAGTCTTTCAAACAACCAGTACATTTGTGGCAGTATAATCGAAAAATCAACTAGAAGCAAGAAAAATTCACTTTTGAAACAGTTCCATATTTTCTTGTTGGCTTCTATTCCCTATTAGATAACAAAATGACAATATTATACTGGCCAACTTGTTATTAATCTCATTGGCGCTTTCTGCTATTTTGTCAAGTATTCTATGTCATCAGCTGGTACAACAGTGTCATTAATTGAAGCATATTTAGGATATGGGAGGAAGTCTACCATCTTAAACTACTAATGATACATAGCTCAGCATAGATAAATTCTTACAATCACGGCGCGATCAATGATACATAGCTGCAAGCAAGATTCGACGGCATGATATAATCAACTGTTCTGTTGATGAGATCTTATGAAAAGTGATAATCATATATTTTAGATCAATGTTTTCCAGTCCTCCACTATGAGCTCATGAAAGTGCATTGTCATATTGGAAGGTGGAAAGAAAATTCCGTAAATGCATCTGAACAGTCGGTCGAGAATCAAAAGATGGAGTGATAGGCACTAATTAATGTAAATATTAAGCAGTACTATCAAAAATGTCATTACTGATTCCACTTGCAATAAAATAGAAAGTAGAAAATTGTAAAAAGCTTTCATTGAAAGTTTACGAAATGGTACTTATATAATGCTGCAAGATTATCTACACGTGAAATTACATGTGAAAACACGTGAAATAAGATATTTGTTCAATGAACATTACTATGTATCAATCTTTTTTAAAGAAGTTGAAAGTTGTTAGGACAATATGGCACTTCCATTTAGTGTTGAAAGGAAAAAACTGATATAAACTGTACTTTGCACGACTGTTAGAGGAGAAATGCAGTTGAAAAATGTGAAATAGTGAGAAGCTATTAGGGATCATCACAATTGTATAAATGTTATATGATATATTATAATTACTTGAAAGACTAAGCTTATTTTGCTCTTCATTCAACAATTAAAATTGAAGCGCCACGTAGACGTAAAAACTTTGTTTATATATGAACTGGTCTTATCATTGCAGTGTATTTGATGATAATAACATTCGGTGATAGAATAGTTTAAGGATCAGATAAAAGAAGTGAGTGCATTTTCCGAGTTGCAATAAGTGTTTCATAGGTAGGAGATAAGGAGAAGCGTGATAATGACAAGGAGAAGGACATGAGTGGTAATGATAACGAGCAGAGTAATACCTTCTCCTTCGAACCGTCTTATCCCATTGCTTCAAGAGAAAGCAAATGAACCATCAACCGCACAGCTCACCGTTTCTTCATTCGTCCGTCTCTGTGCGTACTCCATGTTTGCGTGCTGCATGCGTGCGTGTGTGTGTGAAATGTCCGTAAAGGTAGAGGAGGAATGGGTATGAACGACTCGCTCATTGCATTTGCATTCTCTTGCTATTCCTAACGTATTTATATAGCCGCAACACTAAGCGCGCTGAATACCAACTCCAATGCATGCATAAAAACTACGGTGGCGTGCTGGTAAGACAACTTCACATCTTCTTTACTTCTCTTCCTTCTTCAGTGACACTTTCTCTCCGATTACTCTCAATCTTGTAGTCAATATATACAGAGAGAGGATTGGAAGCATTGACTGAACGGGTGAGGAAATAGATCTACCTGCACATCTTTTTCGCACAGCACCCATTACACGTAGAGAGAGAGAAAGGAAGAGAGAGTATGTGGATGGATAGACGGACGGATGGATGAGTGCATAGGTATAGCGGCCCCCCAGACTGCATAGTGCCGGGGGGCCGTATGACATCAGATGACTTCCAGACGGGAAGCATACAGACTTATGCAAAAACTTCGTTTTTCTTTAGTTGCAAGTGCTACTTGTTCCTCTCTTCTGTGAAGACATGTCCCTGCACGCACTTTCTGCACTGGCACATACATACACACACACTCGCATCGCGTAATGTTTGCATCAGAATTGAGCTGTCCGATGCGATGTGCGAGCTGTCCATAACACCGTGTGGCGCAGGTGTCGGTGGCAGCCATACTGTGGGCCATTCATCTTGAACTCTGTCCTATCATCACTCCCGTGTTGTAGAATGCTTGCTTGTTGTAAAGCCACGTACAGAAGTCAGGGACAGGTAAGGAAAGTGATCGGTGCAGATTGCATATCATCCATCCCGGAACTAGTCTTGGCTTCCTCTTTTCCGCCACCACTACGACATTCACGCCTTTGTATTCACTCTTTCCCTTTTCAATTCTATTTCGGTATATTTAACACTGCTAGGAGTACTTCTTTTGACAAAGCAACTTCAGTATGTGTCACTTTCTCCGAAGTTTGTAGTACTGTAATCCCCTTTTACAACTAATCTTCTAAGAAGAGTGTCAAGAATATGATACTTCCACTGATAAGAAGCGAGCCAGATGTGATGTGCATTGAACATTGCTCCAACAATTGTCACAATAGCATTCCTTGAAATTATGCCTATCATTGCTGTTTAGTGCTTATATAATATTTAGTATCAATTTAATTTGTCTAATTCGCAATAACAATGAAAGTGAAATTATCAAGAGGAACAGTACCTATAAGTAGAATGAAGTTACTTTATTGCAATCTGTTCGTTCCAGAATTCAGGTAAATGTTCGCGAAATCTTGGAATGAAGATTTATCATGTTGCACATCATATTAGAATGATATGTCAGTCATCTCAACGCTTACCACCGAAAATCTGGTTTCTATTATAGCATGACATGTCCTGTCGTTCCTCTTCGCACTATGTCCTGAATCTCTCTGTTTGCAGTGTATCTACTGAAAGGAACAATCTTTGACTCACATATATAAAAACATCTGTCAAAAGCAACTTGTGAACGTCTCACTTAAGACCGACCAACCATTCCTTTTTCAATGTGTTATTGAAAATTGATACGATACTATTCATGCATTCTACAAGTGAGAAAAGAATCATCATAAAAAAGGATAACAGATGACAGTGATCATTACCATTTATTAATTATCACAGCTAATCTACTATCCCATTTGTTCTTACAAGCCATCCCCTACAAAAAGATCGATGCTTCACTCCACTGGGTGCATGATCTCTGAATTTTCAAAATATAGTAAATGGGAATCATCTACAATGATAAGCATAATTCATGCATCGTTTATTCATTTAAGAGTAATTTAATAGTTTTGTATTTTATGACATGTTCACTTCAAATTTGACTTAATTCCATTACAATCTCAGCTAATGATAGTTATATTTCTCTTCGTTTGAAGGATTGATGTAGATGAAAAAAGCTGACATTAACTTTATCTTGGGTTTATCAAGGTTGCCTTTTATCTTGGGCTTATCAAGGTTGTCATTTCTCACATATTTTTCCTGTGCTCATTAAATATTTGATAATTGTCAAATAATGTATCTTTCATATATATATATATTTATTTATTTATTTATTTATATAGAGAGATACTGATAAAAATATAAAAAAATATTCTGTTTGAATAAGTACTTTTACTATGAGATTATTATTTCACAACTGATGTAAGAACTATAAGATACTAAAGAAGTACTGTATAGTGAAAACAATTTTAAGCATAAGAAGTATGGTCTCCCTCTCTCTCTTTTTTTTCTCTTTCTCTCAGTTTAAATGAAGTAATAAATCACACAAATAATAAACTCTAATTTTTAAAATACACAATATAAGTTAGCAAAGAATCTCCTTTTTATTCATTGCTTGATTCCTTATTGGTTTGCACTAATAATTATATAGCATTATTAATGATTTTGGTCTTAGTTAGTAGCAAATGAATTTATCTTGGAAATACTGAAATTTGAATAACGTTAGTAAAGTAATTTTGCATTGTTCAACACTGTGTGTATTGATGTGATGCTAAAGAAATTCATCACATATCAATTTTATTTCCATCTTTCATGTTCATATCTCTAAAGATTGCTCTTTCAAAATCCATCAAAACATTTAAAGTATCTTCTTACGATTTCTTCCACTTACTAAAATAACTTTTTGTAAAAGTGATCAAAACCAATAAAGCTGGACATTTAAAACAGCAGTCGTTCAAATGCTATTCATGTTAGCTCATGTTCTGTTAATGAGAAGGAATGCCTCCCACTGGAACTTTTTTCTCTTTTTTCTTTGTATTTTTTGCCTCCAGTTCATTATATTTACATCTTCTAAAATTCGGCTTATTTTTGACACCTATTTAAAAAACGATGTAGATAATAGGGATTATTGCATTCATCATGTAACAACATGCCTTATATTTATGAACAACGTGTGACTTTTTAGGAAATTATTAAGCCTTTTATTAATATTTCAAATGTTTACTGCTGAAGAATGTAAAGTTGCTTAAAATTCAAACAGTCCATAAAATACTGTTTCAAAAATAACGTTTCTGGGATTTTTTCAAATAGAAATTCAACTTATGATTTTTTTCGTATTGAAATATAATTTTTGTTCTTCTGAATAAAACTTTGAAGAAGAAATAAGTATTTTAATATTTGTAAATGATCTGCAAAGAACAACCAAATCTGAAACAAGGCTGCCAAACAATTTAATTAATGAAAGAATAAGAAAATGGACTGACACTTCTCCAGCTGCCCTCTTACATCTAAATCTAAGAAAGAAATCAGAATACCTGTTGAAGTAAAATTTAGATACTTTCAATTTTTATTTGTATTTGGCAAATGATAACATGACTTATAGCGACTATATGGATATCAACAAAGCATGCAGCTATTGTTACCTCAACGTGAATTATCATCTCGAGTTACGAAATTCGTGTTTTTTTGGTCTTTCAAAAAGTCATCTGTTCATTTTGTTTGGATATAAATAGAATCGATAGAAATGATATATTTGATCAAGCTGAAATCATGAAGGAAAGAATACATTTCACCGGCCCCGAATTATTTTTCAGTGTTATCAAAATTTGAAGACAAACAATCTTTGGCTAACGCTTTTCTGATAAATGACAAAAAAATTGAAGGAAAGCATTTTTGTAAATGAAATGAATGAAGCGACTGCAGTTTTAGTCCTACTAATATTAGTTCTGTTTCTGTCAACTAATCTAATGTTACTCGAATAGTATAAATAAGTAATCTGATTTCTACTGCTCTTATATAGCTAAGGCAAGGTTCAATTAATGATATTCGTGTTATGAGATACAGATATATATATCTCTGCCCATTTGCACATTCAATTCAAGCATAATATGAATCTGACACTTTAAGCTTATTCTGTTAACATCCTTTATACAAAATGCAGATTTGAAACATTTATAATCTACCATTCTTCTTCCAAAAAAGTAAAAAGACTAGCACAGGAAAAAATTTTGTAATACTTTACCTTTATTACTTGATAAACTCATTACTGCTTTATATGGTGGAAATATTTCGCTCGTCGGATAACCACAAGTTTGCATGCTGAATTACCGGGATTTTACATAGTGTACTATTCAGGCCACAAACTGACAAACATTATACGTCTATATATATGTACGATTTTCAGAAACCTAGTATATTTTGCTCAAAATTCTTATTTACTTATATCAATAGGGAGAGAGAGAGAGTGAATAACAATCATTTCAAAAATTTGGAACATTAGCGCAACTTAGTCACAGTAATGCTCTTTATGAATTAATATGCTATTTGGAGAATGTCAGGAACCATTATCGTTACTGCAAGTAGATATAAAGAGATAGGAAATATTTTCATGCTTCTTTGAATTTATTAATGATGTAAGAAGCGTCTTAGTTTACCTCTTTTAGCTATACTGCACTAATTAAGGCTTCATCCATCTCCATAAATAATCATATATCATTGTTGTTATAGATAAAGTTTGCAAACGCAAGTTTCTTCAGCAAGTTCCTTGGTTGTTTAACCTATTTTTGCACTGTATCTTTGATTTCATTCATTTTCATTCAACAAGAGCAGTTTTTCTGGTGACCAAAAAATATTCTTGGGCAAATGTTTAATAAATTGAGCACTCTCGAGAAAGGACAACAATTATCGCTCTATGCAATGCAGCATTTCGAATGAATTTGTTGAAAAATCTAGTTGCAATTATTCCTTCTTCTAAAAGATTTCTGTTATTTACAAGCTAGCTTCAGTCTATGAAAATCTTGAGAAGTTTGAAATTTGTTAGCTCAGACACATTGTCTATGCAAACTTTAAAAACCTTTCATAAATTCTGTTAATTTTACTCTTATTGAGGTAAATAGCTATGAAGAAAGGAATAGATTAATCAGCAGATAACAGAAGGACCATTTTGAAATTTTCAATTGATTTTTAAATATGCATTTCAGTTAAAGTAAGTTTAATTCCACCCGCAGTAGAAGGAGTTCTACATCAAAATCCATGTTGTAAGTGTTGTGATCTTGATTAATTGGCTGGAAGAGAACAAATCATTTCAGCTAATCTGTAGCTGAAATGGTACCCTAGGTAAAATAAACGGAAAAATATGTGTATAAATATATATATAATTCAGAAACAAATGTTTCGTAAATGGGATCTGCAAAAGATGGGATTAATTTGTATTTAGGCTCAATAAGTCCGGTTATTGATTTTTTCTTGAAATCCTATGTGACCAGGAGTTTTTAAATAAATTCAATTTAACATCGTGAATTCTCTCAGCGCATCGTTTGTAGAGTTAAAAGCATTGAAAAGCATGAGTAAGATCAAGTTCTTGTCATTCAAATATGTCACATTTTCTCGACAAAGATTTCGTGCCACAGGGCCATCCTCACTTTACTCTGATAATCCTGATCGTTCTTGACAATTCACAATATGGTATTTAAGTGGAACACACAATACACGCAGCAAGTGCACAAGGGAAATAAATCAGAAGAGATAATTCAGTGAGTCAAAAAAAACCTAAAAGTGTATTACATGAGTATTATCAGAAGAAATGGAAAATAACATAGAAAACAGACTGGTACTTAGGGTATTTCAAAGTTGTGGGTGAAAAAGTAGAAGCGTTATGTCGCTAAATTCTGAAGTTTTTGATGTATCTCCGCATAATCTTTTCGTTTGTATTGAATGAAA